GGAGGCAAGAACTGCCACAGTCGCAGTCCTCCCAGCAGGTGTCGCCCTCCTCTGCATCCCGAGGCCGCTTGTCTGTTCTGGACTTTGAGATGGCTTTACATGAAGAAGCAGAGCTGTCTCTCTTTTATTGAAAATTGTGGGGTAGAATTCAGGGCTAGGTATACGAATATTCACCGTGCAGGTACTCTTATTGATGAGGTGTGTCCCTACCCTCCCTAAGCAGTTATTGATTGTCTCTTAAAAGAGGGGGTCAGGAAAGGGGGCACTGGCCATCCTGACAAAGAGAGAGGGGACAGAGCAGGAACAAAATGAGGGAAAGTGGAAACAGAGAAAGAGGAGAGGAAGAAAACGGCCAGGTGCCCGAAGGACCGCCTCGAGCAGTGTGGGAAGCCTGGCCCTCACCTGGCCCTCGTGCTTCTAGACCACCCCTCCCCAGCAACAGCCAGTACAAATACATGGATGAGTTTATTCGTACGCGGACAGGTAGGTCTGTCCATCAAGGCCTGTTGAGGAGGTGCGATGCCGTGAGTCTGAGCTGTCGGGATGAAGTTCTGATGTGGCCCTCATGGCAACCTACGCACAATACCGTGGTGGTCCGTCTGCACACAGCACATGGTTTCCTGGGCGCTTGGACGGCCACCAGAGGAGGCAGGGAGGAGGAGGAGGGAGGGGACGCAGGGAGGAGCCTGTTTCTGCTGCTCTCAGCGTCTGGGGACGCCGACATTCATTCCACTCATTTTAGTCCTGGTGCATTTTCTGTTCAATAAAAAAATCCTACCGGGGAAACAAGCGCAAGCCTTGGGTTCGTTGCACAAGAGCCAGAGGTTCAGGCGGACCCTGAGGGGCACCATGCTTCCTGTTTTTCTGTTCTCAAGATCTGGCCATGCTGTTCCAGGAGTTCCTCAGATCGGTATTCTAGAAGGCTGTCAGTCTCCCACCCCAAGGAATCACCTCGGATCCCAGAGGAATGGCTTGCCTCTTTCTGTTGAAAATGAAAGAAACACCCAGTAACAGGGCTATCGAAGAAGGCCCTGCATGAAGTCTCTAAAGTGCTTTCCAGGGTCCAAGTCGTGATTTTTTGGGGGAAATTCTTTAAGGACAAGCCTGCTGGTTCACACCTGTAACCCCAGCACTCTGGAAGGCTAAGGCAGGAGGATGGCTTGCGCCCAGAAACTTGAGACCAACCTGGGCGCCATAGCAAGCCCTTGTCTTGACAAAAAGCAATGCAAAACGTTAGCCAGGTGTGGCGGCTTGTGCCAGTAGTCCCAGCTACTCAGGAGGCTGAGGTGGGAGGATTGCCTGATCCCAGGAGGTCGGGGCGGCGGTGAGTTGTGGATTGTGTCAGGGCCGTCCAGTCTAGGCGATAGAGTGAGACCCTGACTCAAAAAAAGAAAAGAAAGCAAAGAAAATTCGCCTTTATTATGTAGAAATGACCAACAGAGTGACTGTCAGCGAGGTAATAACAAAGCTTGTCCAAACAAGCTATTTCCCTACTGGAAATAGGAAAATAAGCCCTGTTCTGGGGGCTTGTGGAGATCTGACAGAACAAGGGGAACATTGTCATTATGCGGCCTTAAGAATGCCAGTGCACGTCAAAGCCAGCCGCGTGGGCTGTGTGGCACGCTTTTATTCTTCCTCCTCAGAGGCCCATCGTGTCTGCACAGTGGAGTCCCCAGGGAGTTCCCCGAGGCCATCGGGGGAAGTCAGCTGTCGTTCTCAGAACCCCAAGCTGTCGCCAGTGGATATGGAATCATAAAATAAAGAAATACAGAAACACAGGAATATAGAAGGCCAGGTGCAGTGGCTCACGCCTGTCATCCCAGCACTTTGGGAGGTGGAGGCTAGAGGATCGCCTGAGCCCATGGGTTTGAGACCAGCCTGGGCAACTTGGCGAGACCTCGTCTCTACAATAAATCAAGAAATGTGAGCCGAGCATGGTGGCGCATGCCTGTAGTTCCAGCTACTTGGAAGGCTGAGGCGGAAGGATCGCCTGAGCCCAGGAGGTCGAGGCTGTGGTGGCCCTGAGCGTGCCACTGCACCCCAGCCTGGGCGATAGAGTGATTCCAAGTCACAAATAAACAAAAAAAGAAAAGAAATATGGGCAAGACTATTTTTCAGGAACATCTAAGCAGAATAATACCAAATCCCTGAAACATGCATTGAACACCTCCTGAGTCTAAAACCTTAACGTAGGTGCTGTGTAATATCTAAAAATACAAGTGTCAGAAGAAGTGATACAAGCCATCATTTCTTCTGTGGGCTGCAGACAGCTGAGTGAGTGTGTGCTTCCAGGGTCTTTTGAAGAGCGTGCTCAGGTTTCAGGTGGGGGGACCACAGCGTGAGGACGGCTTCGGCAGGAATGTCAGCCTGGCCAGGTAGCAGTGCGAGTCCACAGTGTGCTCAGAGGCTCCCATCATGGTGAGATCACCTTGGATAGTTGAAGACAGGCGGCCATGACAGGATCAGCGTGGATGCAGGATTGCCATGGGCGGAAGCATTGGGAGAACCTTTGGGTAGCTCAGTGGCGAGCGTCTTCGGAGTGCAGGGAGCATGCATTTCTCGTACATTCTGGGACCTGAGACTGGGCCTGTCGGGGAAGAAGCCGTGGGCAGCGGGCTCCTTGTGCTTCCTGGCAGGAGTTTGGCTAAGGAAGAGAGAAGAAAACATTAGTGCACGTTAATCCGGCCCAAGTCTCTTCGGGTCGGCCGGAAGAACTAGTGTCCCATGGGGCAGACTCAGAAGGCTGGACCAGGGCGGAGGAAGCAGCGGATCTGAACGTCAGCTGATTCCTGAAAATGCAGAAAAAGAGAGGGGAGGACTGTTCCATGGAAGGAATGGGAGGAAGGAAGGAAGCGAGCCGCAGGGCAGGTGTGGGGAGGAGGGGAGGAGAGGGCATTGAGGCGGTGGGAGCGCATGGGGGAGGGAGGGGGCCCGGACCCCAGAGGGCGAAGGAGACGGAGGGCCTGCCCTCTGCGAACCTGCAGCCGCCTGGGAAGGCAGGACAGACTTCCCCGACGTGGGGGCACAGACGCGGTCTGGGAGGGCGAGGCAGCAGGCAGCCGTGAGCATGCCACTGCGCACCCGTCTAGATGACAGGGAGACCCGGACTCACAAAAACCCTGATAATCCACACGTGAATAGCTTATACTCAGACAATTACGAGTTTGTTATAAAACAATTACACAACCGTAGGATAATTTCTTTTTAACTAGGATAAATTTTTTTTTTTGGGTTGGATTCTTAATCTGTTGCTTGAGGGCAGTGGCACACTCAGCCACGGCAGCCACAGCCGGCTGGACTCTGGCGATCCTTCCGCCTCCGCCTTCCAAGTAGCTGCAACTACGGGCACACGTCCCCATGCCTGGCTAATTTTCTGATGTATTGTAGAGATGAGGTCTTGCCAAGTTGCCCAGGCTAGTCTCAAACCTATGGGCTGAGGCAGTCCTCTCACCTTGGCCTCCCAAAGTGCTGGGATTATAGGCGTGAGCCATTGTGCCCGGCCTAAATCTTTTGTTTTTTTTTTTTTTTTGAGTCAGAGTCTCACTCCGTTGCTCAGGCTGGACTGCAGTGGCACGGTCACCACCACCATAGCCTCGACCTGCTGGGCTAAGGTGATCTTTCTGCCTCAGCCTCCTGAGTAGCTGGGACTACAGGCATATGCCACCATGCCCGGCTAATTTTATTATTATTATTACTTATTATAGAGATGAGGTCTTGCCAAGTTGCTGGGCTCCGACAATCCTTCCACCTCAGCTTTCCAAGTAGTTGGAACTACAGGCACACACCACCATGCCAGGCTATTTTTTAAAACAATTTATTGTAGAGATGAGGTCCCACCAAGTTGCACAGACTGGTATCAAACCCATAGACTCAGGCAATCCTCTCACCTTGGCCTCTCAAAGTACTGGGGTTACAGGTGTGAGCCACCATGCCCAGATGATCCCCCCGCCTCAGCCTTCCAAGTAACTGGCACTACAGGCACATGCCACCACACCTGGCTAATTTTTTGATTTCTTGTAGAGACGAGGTGTTGTCATGTTGCCCAGGCTGGTCTCAAACTCCCAAGTTCAGGCAGTCTTCTCGCCTCTACCTCCCAATAGCTGGGATTACAGGCTCGAACCACTGTGCCTGGCCTGGTTATTTTCAAAATCAAAAGTGCTGATGCTGGTACCTGCTTTTAGGAACTCATCACTGGCCAGGCTTGGTGGCCCAGCCTGTAATCCCAGCACTTTGGGAGGCAAGTGGATTACCTGATCCCGTGGGTTCGAGACCAGCCTGGTGCAACTTGGTGAGACCTTATCTCTACAATAAATCAACAAAAATTAGCTGGGTATGGTAGCACATGCCTGTAGTTCTAGCTACTTGGAAGGCTAAGGCAGAAGGATCGTCAGCAGGTCAACAGTGGGGAGCAGAGTGAGACTCCAACTCAAAAACAAAAAAACAAAAAAGAACTTATTACTGCTGGGCATAGTGGCCCAGCAGGTCAACAGTGGGGAGACAGAGTGAGACTCCAACTCAAAAACAAAAAAGAACTTATCACTGCTGGGCATGGTGGCTCACACCTATAACCCCAGCACTTTGAGAGGCCGAGGTGAGAGGATTGCCTGAGCCTATGGGTTTGATACCAGTCTGTGCAACTTGGTGGAACCTCATTTCTACAATAAATTTTTTTAAAAAATTAGCCTGGCATGGTGGTATGTGCCTGTAGTTCCAACTACTTGGAAAGCTGAGGTGGAAGGATTGTCGGAGCCCAGCAGGCTGGCTACGGTGGCCATGAGCATACCTCTGCATTCCAGCCTGAGTGACAGAGTGAGACTCCAACTCAAAAAAGAGAAGGGGGGAAACCGCCAGTTGATGGGCCTGTTCTGATTCCTTGAGTTGTTGCAGGAGCTCACGCCCTAAACTCTAGTGGGATTTCCCTGCCTGGGCAGCTGTTTGAGGGCTGGTCCGCTGTGGGCTGTGTGGCGGCCAGGGTCACTCTCGCTGCTGTCTTTCTCCAGGTGACCTGGTGGTTCTCGATGGCGCGCCGGTTGGAGACTGGCTGCAGGGCCGAAGCTGCTGGGGCGCGCGGGGCTTCTTCCCGGCCTCCTGTGTCCGCGAGCTCAACCTCTCCTCACAGAGCCGGCAGTGGCACTCCCAGGGCGCCCTGCTCCAGACTCCAGAGCACTCCATGGGACAGGCCCGGGCCTTGATGGGGCTTTCTGCCCAGCTGGACGAGGAGCTGGACTTCAGGGAAGGGGACGTGATCACCATCACTGGCGTTCCTGAGCCAGGCTGGTTTGAAGGCGAGTTGGAGGGCCGGAGGGGCATCTTCCCAGAAGGCTTTGTGGAGCTTCTGGGGCCCCTGAGGACGGTGGACGGGCTGGAAGGTTCTGGAAGCGCCGATGACTTCATGGTTAATGGGGAGGCCGACTCTCCTGCGGGAGAGGAGGACGGGGCTCCGGGCGAGGACGACGAGCTGCCGGGGCCCTACGGGATCGCCCTCTACAGGTTCCAGGCCCTGGAGCCCAGCGAGCTGGATTTCGAGGTGGGCGACCGCATCCAGATTCTGGCGACCTTGGAGGACGGCTGGCTGGAAGGCTCCCTGAAGGGCAGGACGGGCGTCTTTCCTCACCGGTTTGTGCAGATATGTCCCGGCCCGAGGGTGGAGGGGGACGACGTGGCTCTGTCCCAGGAGGACAGCCTTGCAGAGACCCCCGGGATGTCTCTGGATGGTTCGGAGAGCTTCGCAGTGGAGGAAGAGGGCTGTGAATCTCCTGGGTGCGAGGCCGAGGAGTCTGACTGTGTCACTTTTGAAACACCCGCCTCTCCCCTGGGTCTCCTGCTTCCCCCTGAGTTTGACGCACACGGAGACTCCTACCTGGGGGAAGGGCCCCTGGAGAGCCCCGACGTGGGGTGGGAAGCGCCTCCTGCCCGAGACCCGCACACGCCAGGCCCCGCAGAGGGGGTGGACAGCATCTCCAGCCAGCCTCAGGCCCCCTGGCCCCCCCGCCTGCGGCCAGCCCCGTGCTACCCTGCCGCTGCTGGGGACCCCCCGCGCACGGGGCGGCATCCTGATCTCCTCGCTCCAGAAGCCAGACCCAGAGGCTACGCGAGCCTGCCTCCCCGGAGAACACACTCCCAGCCGGGGACCCTCCGGCCGCCGGGGCCCCCCATTCACCGGAGAGCTTCCCTCTCAGCCTTGAGGATGGCCAGACCCAGCCAACTGGGCTCTCAGCTGCAGGGCCTGGCGAGGTATGCCAGGAAGCACCACGCGGCCAAGGAGAAGGCCTCCGGCATGGACCCCGCCTGGGAGAGGTCAGCGGTACAGCCCGGCCTGCCATGCCAGGGGCTGCCCCTGGACACAACATCCCCGGCACTGGGGGACAGCATCGACCTGGACTCCAAGTTGACGCAGCAGCTGATAGAGTTTGAGAAGAGCTTGGCGGGACCCGGCACAGAGCCGGATAAAATTTTGCGCCACTTTTCAATCACGGACTTCAACTCCGAGAGGGACATCGTCCGCGGGTCCTCCAAGTTCGCCACCCAGCAGGAGCTGCCCGAGAGGAGGAGGGCCCTGAGGCCGCCGCCACCCCGTCCCTGCACCCCGGCGTCCTCGTCGCCCCACCTGCTGGCTGATCAGGCCCTGAAGCCCGCACTGCCCTTGGCTGTGAGACCCTCGCGCCCGGCCCCCCTGCCTCCCTCGGCGCTGCCCCGAGCCAGTGTGGCGTCCCCCAAGCTCCTGCCCCGCCCCGGTCCCAGCCGGGAGGCCTCGGAAGGGGCGGGCCCTGCACCCGTGGAGAAGAGTCCGGACCAGACCCTGCCGTGTCCCTTGGTGCTGGTGAGGATCCAGGAGATGGAACACGACCTGGAGGCCTGCCGCCGGGCTCGGGAGGAGCTCGGCCCCACGCTGGAGAGGCAGGGTGACTCCCTGCGGGCGGAGACACCGGTGAGCCCCGAGATCTACGAGACGAACCTGGAGAGCCTGAGTGCGGAGCTCCAGCAGCTGCGGGGTAAGTGGCGGGGTACCATGTGCCTGTGTCCCAGTGGGTACTGGGACGGCCTCCCACATTCTTTTGTTTGTTTGTTTTTGAGTTGGAGTCTCCCTCTGTCACCCAGGCTGGAGTGCAGTGACACGCTCATGGCCACTGCAGCCTTGAACCACTGGGTTCAGGTGATCCTTTTGCCTCAGCCTTCCAAGTGGCTGGAACCACAGGCGTGCGCCACCACGCCTAGCTAGTTTTTTTATTTATTGCAGAGATGAGGTCTTGCCAGGTTGCCCAATCTGGTCTCGAACCTCAGGGCTCAGGCAGTCCTCTCGCCCTGGCCTCCCAAAGTGCTAGGATTACAGGCGTGAGCCACTGCACCCAGCTGTCTGTTCGGAATTTTTTTTTTTTTTTGAATTGGAGTCTCACTCTGTCACCCAGGCTGGAGTGTAGTGGTGTGCTCAAGGCCACTGCAGCCTCGACCTGCTGGGTTTATGCAATCCTTCCGCCTCAGCCTTTCAAGTAGCTGGAACCACAGGCATGTGCCACCATGCCCAGTTGATCATTTGTTTTATTGTAGAGACGAGGTCTCACCGTGTTGCCCAGGCTGGTCTCCGACCCGCGGGCTTAGGCAATCCACTCACCTCAGCCTCCCAAAGGCGCGGGATTACAGGCTGAGCCACCGAGCCCGGCTTGCCTCCACCTTTCAAAGGGCTGGAATTATAGGTGTGAGCCACCATGCCCAGCTATATTTTTTACTTTTATAGAGACAAGGTCTTACTCTGTTGCCTAGGCTGGTCTCAAACTCTTGGGCTCAAGTGATCTTCCCACCTCAGCCTCTCAAAGTGCTGGGGTTACAGGCATGAGTCACCGTGCCCAGCCAGGAAGTCCCTAAATAGATCTTTCTTTAACTAGGCTCTGCAAAGGACTACAGACTTTCAGGCTAAGATTCACGAGATAACTGCATCTTCTATCTTTGTGGCCCAGGGACTAGATTTCAGTAACAAAATGCTAACATTATGAACATATTCGTAAACATTTGTTACCATTTGCTTACACATGGAATCCTCACAGCCACCCTGAAGGTATGGGAATAATTCGTGGGATACATTATAGATGAGGAAACTAAGAGAGATTGAGTAACTTGCTGGGATTGAAGCTTGTGTTTTTAATGCTACAGCCCACTGCTTCCCACCTTCACATTGGAAAATTCACATCCTACCCCTTCTTTTGGAGATGACCAGTCCCTGAGACTGCGTTCGTGTTCAGCAGACTCATAGGAGAAATAACCTAGAAAGTGAATGAGTCAGAGCAGGAGGCAGTGGCACTGGGTCCAGGGCCCAAGGAGGAGGTGACATTTGGCCTGTATACCAGAGACCTTGAGCCTGCACCCATCACGAAAGGCAGCACTGAAGAGCACACAGCCACCTCCCTCCCCTCCACTTTAGGTCTCTAAAGGTAAATGAAAAAAATACAAGGGGGACCAAAAAATCTGGAATTATCTCCTGGAGGGTACGTGTTCTCGGAACCCATGGGTATCCGTGTACCAGCTAGTGTTGTTGTAAGAGGCTACGTTCAGCTTCAGTAAATTTTCTTTGGAGATGCTTTGAATGCGTTTGCCCATTTCTTTTTCTTTTTCTTTTTTGAGTTGGAGTCTCACTCTGTCACCCAGACTGGAGTACAGTGGCCGCTCCTGGCCACTGCAGCCTCAACCTGCTGGGCTCTGGCGATCCTTCTGCCTCAGCCTTTCCAGTAGCTGAAACTACAGGCACGCGCTACCACGCCCAACTAATTTTTGATTTATTATAGAGGTGAGGTCTCGCCAACTTGCCCAGGCGGGTCTCGAACCCACGGGCTCAGGCAATCCACTCACCTCAGCCTCCCAAAGCACGGGATTACAGGCTGAGCCACCGAGCCCAGCTTGCCCATTTCTTTTTTGTTTGTTTGTTTGTTTTGGGGTTTTTTTGAGTGGGAGTCTCACTCTGTCACCCAGACTGGAGTGCAGCGGCCGCTCCCGGCCACCGCAGCCTCGACCTGCTGGG